AGACATTTCCCCAAGAAGATATACAAATGTCCAATAAGCAAATGAAAAGATGCTCAATATCATTAGGCATTAGGGAAATGCAAATCCAAATCACGATGAGATACCATTTCATACTCACTAGAATGGCTATAATCAAAAAGACAGACAGTAACAAGTGCTGCAAGTTCAGCAAGCATGTAAAGAATGTACAGCACCTATACACTGTTGATAGGAATGTAAAATGGTGCAACCACTTTAGAAAATACTTCAGCAGTTCCTCAAAAAGTTAAACACAGAGTTACCATAAGACCAAGCAATTTCACTCCAAGAGAGGTAAAAACATATGTCCACGCAAAAATCTGTACAGATATTCACAGCTGCACTATTCATAACAGATGAAAAGTGGAAACAACCCAGAAATTCACCAACTGAGGACTGTATTAACAAAGTGAGGTCTACTCATACAATGGAATATTATTCAGCTATAAAAAGGAATGAAGTACTGATGTGTATGCTACAACATGGATGAACCTTGAAAACATGCTAAATGAAAAAAGCAAGACACAAAAGGCCACATATTGAATGATTGCATTTATATAAAATGTCCAGGATGGGATAAAGACAGAAAATAGATTAGTTGTTGCCAGGGAGCAGAAGAAATGACTGCTATTGGGTACATGGTTTCTTTTGGTGGTGATGAAAATGTTTGGGAATCAGATAGTACAGTTGCACAACTTTCGGAATATATTTCAAAATCACTGAACTGTACACTTTAAAAGGGTGAATTTTGTGGTATAATTATAACTCACTTAAATAACAAAAGAATAACAGAGGAATAAAAAAGCAGCACAACTAAGGAATGAAGCAGATGTTGCTTTTCTGACCCAACATTTCTGTACACTTACTATGTTTCAGACCTATGCTGGTTGATAGGAACTCAAAGATGAGTAAAACAAAGTTGCTGTATTTTCTTCATGGTCCTTCTCCTTAGCCTACAAATATCTCATTTCTCAAGAGTGTGGCAGCTTTGAAAATGCAAAAACAGCAAGTATAAACCACAGACAACCCAAGAGAATGCAGATATTTACATTATAAACCCTCTCAATTACTCGGAAAAACCGTATTAGGTTTCACTAAATATGGGGGAGGGGAGAGATATGTTTCTAGTATTAGATGTTAAATAACTCATTGTTCCCCAATGCTGACAATGTCATTTTCCAAGAATTATTATTTAAATAGCTTCATTTCACTTAACTGAAAATGTTTTTTATAAATGTTTTTGATAAATCTTTGTTGATTGTATCACTTTGAATGTATTGTTTTTCTCAGTGACTCCCCAAAATAAAATGTGTTCTAACACTCTATTATGATAGCCATATGAAAAAAACTTTTTTTTTTTTTTCAGTAAGAACAAGTAACAGGGCAGTTCTCTAAACTAAGAAAGTGTTTGGGTTCTAATAAAATTTTCATACATCAGGGAAAATCTGATTTCCTGACAGCTGCACTTCTATAAAAGAATAGCTACCAAAAATCAGAGTAATGTTTAGACAGAAAATTAGGCTGAATAGTACTTTAAACATTGCAAGAAAAAAAGG